TGCAGGCAGAGGAGTGAGAGTCGAGCCGAGGCTAAACAACGCAGGTGGTCCTGCGCCTGACGCAGCAGGGGAGCCTAGACTACACATAGGGGGCAAACGACTGCCGCTATAGGGGGAGGAAAGCAGCGGATGGTGGTGGAGAGTGGCAGAGAGCGGTGGAGAGCAATGGAGAGTGGTGGAGTGTGGTGGAGTGCGGTTGAGAGTGGTGAAGAGTGTTAGGATTAAGGACGGAGTCTAGGTGAACTTAGGAGCTAGAATTACTCAAAATATAAATCCGAAATTCTGGACAGAAAAGTCGTCTTCACAAGAAACGACGTCGACAAAAATCTAGCCGTTGGAATGTCGCGAAACTTGGATATGTTGTAGCTCTTAATCTCAGCTACCGTTCACAATTTGAATCATGTTGATTGATGAAGTATTCGCGACGCTATGGCTTTCGACGCACTAGGGGGTAAGCTGTAGGAGGAGAACTTAACTCAATCTCAAGAGTTCAATCAAAGTTCAAGAATCTCACAAGGAATTAGAGGAGCAAGAGAAAGGTTGGGATAGAAAGAGAGGGATGAGAGGGAAGGTCCCAAGAGAGTCCCCAACCAAGGAAACCCCATAAGCACAAAGATTCCCTCCCTATAGGAACCCCAATTTTGACATTTGTCCCTTCCCAACCAATCCATCCAAGTTGGCCACCCTTGCCAACCTAGATTGGTTGTTCCCAACCTATTTGCAGCTGTTACAGTAGAGTGACAAGTTTCCCAAACCCCAAAGGTCCCAACTCCATTGTGAGTCACCCCACAACTTCACTTTGTAACCGCCGCAATTGTAACGCAAGCTCATGAACTTTGAATCTTCATAGCTTTCGCGTTGTTGCTCCAATTGAAGAGATTCTTGTTGCGTCGGAAAGATCTTCTCAAGATCTATCATCACAAATACCTGCTCAAACAAAATAACACATAACACATTCCCAAACTCCAGAACACACACCACACAAATGCTTGCACATTCAAACCACACATGCAAGTTGAAAAACATGGGATGGGAGGCAGACAGAATGTGATAGCATATGATGACATCACACAACAATCTCCCCCTCTGGCTGCCAACCATCATCCACCATACCAACATCTCAAGCATGCATACTCAATGCACACTCATCCCAGCAAGCTTCATGCCCTTCCAATGATCCGCCTCCGCCAGACGCTTGGTGAAAATATCTGCTGCCTGCTGATGGGTCTTCACTATCTCCAGACGCACCTCCTTATTGAGGAGTCTCCTCACCCAATGCCACTTAGGCCTTATGTGTTTTGTCAGCCCATGCAGACAAGCATTCTTGGCGAGCTTCACAGCGGACTCATTGTCACAAAACACAACTGTCGGCTCCTCCTGACCAACTCCCAACTCCTCCAACAAACGCCTTAGCCACACTACTTCCTTGGCCCCATGGTGTAAGGCCATGTACTCAGTCTGACATGAGAACAATCCCACCTCATTCTGCTTCTTGCTGCGCCAGCTCACAGCACCACCTCCTAGCAAGCACACATATCCCCCAATGCTGGTGCCATCCGCTTTCACTGAGTTGAAGCTAGCGTCAGTACCTTGGGTTGAGGAATTGCAGCCCAATAGCATAATGCAATCTCATCTTCCTCAATCTGCTCAACCACACTCCCAGCCTGCACCACATTCGGCCTGCCTCTTCCCCCATAGGTCAGCCTCACTGGAGGGCGCACATCCCTCCTAGAACGCTCAGGCGGGTGTGGAACTCGAGATGGAGACTCATGCTGCTGCTGCTGCTGCTGCTCTACTTCAGCTGCTCCCCCTTCCTCAGTCACCCCAGACATCTCCTCCTCTGACACTGCAACCTCCACCTGTCTTGAAGGCCGCTGCACCTCATCTACCTCCACAATGAGCGGTGTAGATGGAAGCTTCTGTTGCTGCTGCTTCCATTCCTTGTAGTACAGGGACTCAAGAAACTTCACATCCCTTGACACTGTCAACTTCTGGGTGGTCAAGTCCCATAGCAGCCACGCTTTGTGATCCTTTGCAATCCCCAAGTGCACACCCCATCTTCCAGAAGCCTCCAACTTCCCCCTTTTCTCTTTAGGCACATGAAACACCACCATGCACCCAAATGCCCTCAGCATGTTCACAGCTGGAGCACTCCCATACCACTTGACATACGGGATCCACTCCTTATCTCCAACTGTAGCCAGCACCCTGTTCTTCACAAGGGCGACCTGCCTCAGTGCAGACACCCAAAACGGATCAGGCAGCCCTGCACGCCCAAGGAGAGTGCGTGCCCCCTCCTGCAGGGTCCTGTTGAACCTCTCAGCCACGCCATTCTGCTGTGGGTTGTAGGGCACTGTCAGTTGATGTTGGATCCCCTTCCTCTTCAACTCCCCCTCAAAATCAGCTCCAATGAACTCCCCACCATTGTCACTGCGGATCACCTTCACCTTGTATCCGCATTCCCTCTGAGCTCTAGGCATCCACTCCTTAAGGACAGCCGCTGCCACCTCCCCCTTGCTCTTCAAAGGGTAAACCCACACTGCCCGAGTGTGGTCATCCACAATTGTCAAGAAATAGCGGCTGCCTGAGAGGGAAGGGGCTCTTGTGGGCCCCACCACATCCATGTGCACAAGTGCAAGTGGGGTCTTGGCTGGTCCTGTAGTGCTGTTGAAGGGGAACTTGGAGAACTTGGTCTCCAAGCATGTAGGGCAGCTCCCAATCTCCTTCACTCCCCCTTTCACCTCCAAGCCCTTCAGGCTCCCATCCTTCACCAACTTCTGTAGCATAGGAAAGTTCACATGACACAGCCTCTCATGCCATGTCTCCCAATCGGCCTCTCCACTCCTTGATGAAGCCTTAGCCCATGCCGCACTCGTATCCACACCAGCAAGCACCTCACTATGTGTCTGCTGCTGCTGCACTTTCTTGACTGCTTCCAGGACCCCATCAGTTGGTGCAGTTGCATCTCCTCCTGCTGTTGCCTTTGCCGCTGCTGCCGTTGCTGTTGTTGGAGTCTTCCCATTCCATGGGATGATGGGCAGCTGCCACAGGTCCTTGATGCAGCTGGTCTCCTCTTCCAGACTCCACAGCACCTTCTTCCCAAGCTTAGCACGGCAGCTGGTTGGTCCAAAGGTCACTTCGGCCTTGCTCTTCTGCAGTCGTCGCACAGAGAGAAGGTTAGCAGACAAACCTTCAACTAGCAGAACATTCCCAAGCCCCACAAGCTCCCCATTAGCTCCCTTAACCTTGGCATTTCCAACACCAATCACAGGGAGCAAAGCACCTGATGCTGCTGCCACATACTTAATCTTCCCAGGGGGTTTTACCTCATCAAGCAAATCTGCCCGTGGGGTCATGTGACTGGTGCAACCCGAATCAATCACCCAGTGCGTGAGAGGGTGCATCACAACCTTTCCCACAGATCCCACATCACCCTCATGTCCATGCACATCCTCAACCATAAGAAACAAACCAGGATAGGCATTACCTTGTGCACCTTCACCTTGTGCACCTGAGCCTTGCACAGCGCCACCTTGTGCGCGTTCACCACTGGGCGGCTTCATGCCTGGAGGTGCCCATCCCTCCGGCCTGCTGAAGCACTTGAACCAAGGATGCCCTATCTTCTTGCAGTACCAGCAGGTGCCCTCCATTCTGGTACTCCCCCTGCCACTGGAGCTTCCATGCCCCTCATTATAGTCACCTCGGCCTCTACCTCTGCCAAAGCTCCTCCCACGGCCTCGGCCTCTCCAACCCCCTCTTCCTTTGCCGCGCCCTGCAGCTCCATACCCCTCAGCAGTCTTAGTGGCAGCACCGCCTCCCACATGGCGTCTGCGGAAGTCCTCCTGCAGAATCTGCTGCCTTAGCCACTCAGGTGTCCATTGATCTTGCTGAGAGTTGAGGGTGGGGATGAGGTTGTCCCAAGAGTTGTCCAACACCGAGATGATCTTGGTGCACTGCTGCAGCTGAGATACACTGCTGCCCGCTGCTGCCATCCTTGCATAGGTGTCCTTGATCTTGTCAAGGACCGGCTTCACATCATCCCCTAGTCGCATGGGGATGGCAGCAAGTTCCTTCTCGAGCACGATCACCATCGGGAGAGTGTTGGGCTGAATCACATCGCGTAGTAGTTTCCACGCCCTTGGACCCGAATCATCCGCTTCCACAAGATCCTTGATGTGCTCGAACATCTCCTTGTTGACCGATTGAAGAATGAGGTCGAAAAGCACCGCGCTTTTCTCAATCCACCGTTCGCGTGCTTCGCCTTCTTCCGGCATCTTCTCTTCCCCAACAGCAATCTTCAGTAGCTTGTAGCGTTTGAAGGCACTCCTCATCCGTCCGCTCCATTCCTCATAGTTGGAGCCATCCAAAGCTTCAACTTTTGATGGCGGCGGCTCACTTGTCTTCTCAGGTACAGCTCCTCTTCCATTAGCATCTCCTCCTCTCTCATTCATCTTCTCCTTGAGAAATGACGAATTTCAGCTCCCCTTTGCTGTCCACACTCAGCTCCCTCGATATTTTCACAAGTATCGGCGTCCACGAAATTTCGGCAGAGTTTCCCCTTAGCGGAAGACACATCCAACATTTAGAACACCACTTAGGCACACCCACAGGCCATGGTGGGTCTAGAAGGGTCTTTAAACTTCTGTAGACTCCTCTCAATGTCCTTAATATTGCTCTGATACCACTTGTTAGGATTAAGGACGGAGTCTAGGTGAACTTAGGAGCTAGAATTACTCAAAATATAAATCCGAAATTCTGGACAGAAAAGTCGTCTTCACAAGAAACGACGTCGACAAAAATCTAGCCGTTGGAATGTCGCGAAACTTGGATATGTTGTAGCTCTTAATCTCAGCTACCGTTCACAATTTGAATCATGTTGATTGATGAAGTATTCGCGACGCTATGGCTTTCGACGCACTAGGGGGTAAGCTGTAGGAGGAGAACTTAACTCAATCTCAAGAGTTCAATCAAAGTTCAAGAATCTCACAAGGAATTAGAGGAGCAAGAGAAAGGTTGGGATAGAAAGAGAGGGATGAGAGGGAAGGTCCCAAGAGAGTCCCCAACCAAGGAAACCCCATAAGCACAAAGATTCCCTCCCTATAGGAACCCCAATTTTGACATTTGTCCCTTCCCAACCAATCCATCCAAGTTGGCCACCCTTGCCAACCTAGATTGGTTGTTCCCAACCTATTTGCAGCTGTTACAGTAGAGTGACAAGTTTCCCAAACCCCAAAGGTCCCAACTCCATTGTGAGTCACCCCACAACTTCACTTTGTAACCGCCGCAATTGTAACGCAAGCTCATGAACTTTGAATCTTCATAGCTTTCGCGTTGTTGCTCCAATTGAAGAGATTCTTGTTGCGTCGGAAAGATCTTCTCAAGATCTATCATCACAAATACCTGCTCAAACAAAATAACACATAACACATTCCCAAACTCCAGAACACACACCACACAAATGCTTGCACATTCAAACCACACATGCAAGTTGAAAACATGGGATGGGAGGCAGACAGAATGTGATAGCATATGATGACATCACACAACAATCTCCCCCTCTGGCTGCCAACCATCATCCACCATACCAACATCTCAAGCATGCATACTCAATGCACACTCATCCCAGCAAGCTTCATGCCCTTCCAATGATCCGCCTCCGCCAGACGCTTGGTGAAAATATCTGCTGCCTGCTGATGGGTCTTCACTATCTCCAGACGCACCTCCTTATTGAGGAGTCTCCTCACCCAATGCCACTTAGGCCTTATGTGTTTTGTCAGCCCATGCAGACAAGCATTCTTGGCGAGCTTCACAGCGGACTCATTGTCACAAAACACAACTGTCGGCTCCTCCTGACCAACTCCCAACTCCTCCAACAAACGCCTTAGCCACACTACTTCCTTGGCCCCATGGTGTAAGGCCATGTACTCAGTCTGACATGAGAACAATCCCACCTCATTCTGCTTCTTGCTGCGCCAGCTCACAGCACCACCTCCTAGCAAGCACACATATCCCCCAATGCTGGTGCCATCCGCTTTCACTGAGTTGAAGCTAGCGTCAGTACCTTGGGTTGAGGAATTGCAGCCCAATAGCATAATGCAATCTCATCTTCCTCAATCTGCTCAACCACACTCCCAGCCTGCACCACATTCGGCCTGCCTCTTCCCCCATAGGTCAGCCTCACTGGAGGGCGCACATCCCTCCTAGAACGCTCAGGCGGGTGTGGAACTCGAGATGGAGACTCATGCTGCTGCTGCTGCTGCTGCTCTACTTCAGCTGCTCCCCCTTCCTCAGTCACCCCAGACATCTCCTCCTCTGACACTGCAACCTCCACCTGTCTTGAAGGCCGCTGCACCTCATCTACCTCCACAATGAGCGGTGTAGATGGAAGCTTCTGTTGCTGCTGCTTCCATTCCTTGTAGTACAGGGACTCAAGAAACTTCACATCCCTTGACACTGTCAACTTCTGGGTGGTCAAGTCCCATAGCAGCCACGCTTTGTGATCCTTTGCAATCCCCAAGTGCACACCCCATCTTCCAGAAGCCTCCAACTTCCCCCTTTTCTCTTTAGGCACATGAAACACCACCATGCACCCAAATGCCCTCAGCATGTTCACAGCTGGAGCACTCCCATACCACTTGACATACGGGATCCACTCCTTATCTCCAACTGTAGCCAGCACCCTGTTCTTCACAAGGGCGACCTGCCTCAGTGCAGACACCCAAAACGGATCAGGCAGCCCTGCACGCCCAAGGAGAGTGCGTGCCCCCTCCTGCAGGGTCCTGTTGAACCTCTCAGCCACGCCATTCTGCTGTGGGTTGTAGGGCACTGTCAGTTGATGTTGGATCCCCTTCCTCTTCAACTCCCCCTCAAAATCAGCTCCAATGAACTCCCCACCATTGTCACTGCGGATCACCTTCACCTTGTATCCGCATTCCCTCTGAGCTCTAGGCATCCACTCCTTGGCGAGTGGCAGAGTGGCAGAGAGCGGTGGAGAGCAATGGAGAGTGGTGGAGTGTGGTGGAGTGCGGTTGAGAGTGGTGAAGAGCGGTGGAGACAGCCGGCGGGAGCGCCGGCTCAAAGAGGAGCCAAGGCCGGCAGGTCGGGGCGGCAGCAGCTCGGCGGGGCACCGACATGGTGTCACGGCAGCACTGCGGCCCGATGGCATGGCAGCTCGGCGGCACGACGGCTCGGCGGCTCGACGGCGCGGGGGCGGCGCGAGCTGGGGCCGACAAAGCTGAGGCCGGTGGAGCTGGGGCCGACGGAGCTGGGGCCGGCAGAGCTGGGGACGGCGAAGCTGGGGGCCGGCGAGCAAGGGGCTGGCAAGCGTGGGGCCAGCAAGTGCGGGGCCAGCGAGGACTTGGCCGGCAAGCATAGAGCCAGCGAGCACGGGGCCAGCAAGTGCGGGGCTGGCGAGCGCGGGGCCGGTGAGCACGGAGCCAGCGAGCACAGGGCCAGAGTGCACGGGGCTGGCAGGCATGGGGCTAGCGAGCGAGGGGCCGGCAAACTCGGGGCCAGTGGACGTGGGACTGGAGAGCACAGAGGCCAGTGGGTAGGGGCCAGCGAGCGCGGCCAGCGAGCTAGTAGGGGGCCGGTGAGCTAGGACCGACGCGTGCGGGGCTACGGGCGGCCGACGGCGACGAGCGGCCGGCAGCTACGGGCGGCTGTGCGGCTACGGGCGGCCAGGGACTACAGGTGGCTGGCGGCTAAGGGTGGCACGAGGCGACGGGCGGCCAGCGGCAGTGAGCGGCGAGCGGCTAGCAGCGGCGGCTAGCAAGGGGCGGCTAGGGCTAGGACTAGGACTAGAGCGGAAGCGCAGGTGGGTGGGCAAGACCTAACCTAGTGCATGATACCATCTCAGAGTAACAAATAGACTAGAATAGAAGGTACAGGGTGAGCTTGTACTAGTGTGTTGTACCCTCTAAGAGCATGCACCTATCTAGCCTATAATAACATATGCATATATGTTTGACAGGAGTTTGTAACAAGAGCGTAGCTTCTTACTAGCTCTTGGACCATGTTGGGCTCAGTGTAGCCCTGAATCTTTTCAGAAGGCCAAGTCCTTATAACAGATTGCTTGATAGCACAGCGAAAATCCTGAGTTGAACCCTTGTACTGGTATGTGAGAACAAGTGATTGATTATAGCAAAGGGATACAAGGTTTATATAATAATACAAGAGAATATGAGAGTCTAGTTGTTTGTGCACTTCAAGGGGTACATTCTCGTTTTACGACTCGATAAGGCAACTCGGGTAACCACCCGTACTGTAATATCGGGACGGTTATTTGTCCTTGCTGTCGCGCTGACTCTTGATTCTTCCGATTCTGAATGTTGGGTTGCACAGTCAACAGTGATCAACGGTCTGTGACCGTTGCCCTTTTGTAACCTCTGTGGGTTGTCGTCAACCTGTATCAACCGTCGGTGGTACGGTAGCAATATTGACTCGGTAATCCTCGTTGTTGTTGTCCTCGCGTATTCGTGTCAACTTATACATATGTTTATATGTATAAGTTATAGGCTAGATAGGTTTGTGTTCTTAGAGGGTACAACTCCAGCCCTATATCTCCCCTGTTCTCACTTGTTCTAGTTCATTATGTTATTGTCACATGGTATCATAGTAGGTTAAGTCCGCCTACCCGTTTCCGCCCTAGCCCTAGCCTACCGCCCCGTCGTTCCCCTTAGCGCGCCCCGCAGGCCCTTATCGTCCCGACGACCCCGCTCCCGCCCGCTGGTCCCCTACGCGCCTTGTCGGCCCTTAGCGCCCCGCCGGCCCCTTGCGCTACCCGCCGGCCCCTCGCGCACCCCGCCGGCCCCTCGCGTGCCCACCGGCCCTTAGCGCCCCGCCGGCCCCTCGCGTACCTCGCCGGCTCCTCGTGCGCCTCACCGGGCCTTAGCGCCCCCCCGGCCCCTCGCATACCTCGCCGGCCCCCCTCGCGTGCTCGCTGGCCCCTCACGTACCCCGCCGGCCCGTAGCGCCTCGCCGGCCCTTAGCGCCCCGCTGACCCTTCGCGCCCCGCCGGCCCCTCGCGTACCCAGCCGGCCCTTGGCGCACCGCCGGCCCCTCGCGTGCCTAGCCGGCCCTTAGCGCCCCGCCGGCCCTTGCGTGCCCCGTCGGCCCCTTGGGTGGCTGCCGGCCCTTAGCACTCCGCCGACCCCGCTGGCCCCCTTTAGCGCCCTGCCGGCCCTAGGCGCCCCACCAGCCCCTCGAGCGTCAGCTGGCCCTAGCGCCCCGCCTGGCCCTAGCGCTTCGCCAGCCCGTGGCGTCCCGCCGCCTTTTTTTAGTCCTGCCGGCCCATCGCGCCTCGCCGGTCTACTACGCGCCTCGGGCCCTGTGCGCCCTGCTCGGCCTTCCGCCCGGTCTTCCCGCAGGAGAGTTCTGCCGCCACGCCGCTGTGTCGCCGCGCCACTGAGTACATGTGCCGTTGTGCCGCCGTGTCGTTGTGCCGCAGTGCCGCTGAGTACCTGTGCCGCTGTGCCGCCGTATCACTGTGCCGCTGTGCCGTTGTGCCGCCGTGCCGCTGTGCCATCGTGTCGCTGTGCCGCCGTGGAGTTGTGATGCTGAGGTTGGACGATGGCGGACGCCGTACTCCAACTGGACGCGGAGGAGCACGCGATCGACTTCGCTGCCTGGCTCGTCGATCTTCGCCGTCACCTGACAGGTCAGCGCCAGGATTGGGCACTCCCTGGCTGTGCATGTTGATGGTTTGCTTCCCCGCCCCCCCGCGCCTGATCCCCTCCCTGCTGACCCCACCACTGCTGAGTGTGAGGCCTTTTCTGCTATTGCACTCGCTCGCGCTGTTTGGGATTTATGCGATGACGTAGCGCAGCTAGGCAATAGTCATGCTCTTCCCCTGTCTGAGCATCTGCAATTCACTGCTGTCGCGGACGCCAAGGATTTCCTAGATGCAGTAGTTGAGCGCCAATCCACACCCGCCTCCGCCTCCGCTTGCCGCCTGATCCTCCCCATGCTATTCCCAGATCTTGCCGATTTCCCCACTGTCAGTGACCTAGCCACTCACCTCCATGCACTAGAGACCAGCTACCCCGCCGCTAGCACTACGCCCAGCTCACTACCTTCCCCCCACCGTTCTGCACTACTCTGTAACTTATTGCCATGCGCATGCCGGATTTCTTAGCCACTATCCGCGACCACTTCCTTAGCCAGCACCCCGGTGACCTCACCCTGGCCGCCTTTGTCACCTCCCTGTCTGAGATAGAGACTCGCCAGTGCACTATCACTCGGTCGAGCGGTGTTGCGGCAGTCCCTATCTTTCACAGCTGTGCTCCCTCCCAGTGCACGTACACTGACGCTTCAGCCGCGGTCACTATGGCTGCCTCTGCCGCTGAGATTGCAGATGCGGTGTCTCCGCAACTGCGACCGCGTTGGGGCCGTCATGGCCCCAAGAGAGGGCGTGGTGGTGGTGCTGGTGGTGGTAGTGGTGGTGGCGGGGACAGTGATTCTGACGAGGGGGCTGGGGCTGGTACCTAGGAGCAGCAGCAGCCGCAGTCGACGCAGCAGCAGCCATGGGCCCGCCTCCCGCCGGGGTGGCCAGGAGCCTTTGGAGGTGGTGGCTGCAGTGGCGGTCCTTACAGCTTGGCGTCTACCAGCAGCATCGGTGTTGTAAGCTGCCAGTACTAGCTCCCGACCGGCCCCCTCCATGGCACTGTGTGCCGCCGCCCGCACCCGACCGCCCGCTGCTTCTGCCGCCTCGACGACCTCTTTCGTCGCCGCTTCGGCCCGACCCCAGACCTCCCTAACTGGCCCAGTCTGCTGCGCCACGATGTGCCTGTTTTTGGGTTAGACATGGATTATATTAGTTCTGCCCTGCATTCTATGTATGCTGATGCTTCTAGTGTGTCCGGATCTTATTACCATGTGTTCTCTAGTTTAGGCGTACAGTAGTACATGTGTGTAGTACAGACTCCCCTGCTGCGTCAGGCGTAGGACCGTTTGCCTTGCCTGGCCTAGGCTCCACACTTGCTCCTCCTTCGGCTGCCGCTACTGCTTCGTTGTCCTTCAGACTTGACTCCGGTGCGTCTGCCTGCTTTTTCCGCGACCACGCCACACTCACGCCGCTTGCCGCGCCTGCCTCCGTCGCACTAGCTGACCCCTCTTCTGGTCCTGTCATTGCCCGTAGCTACAGTACCCTTCACTGTTCAGCGGTTCCCTCGGGTTCACTTATAGGCCTGCACATCCCTTCGTTCTCCAGGAACTTAGTTGGTGTCGGTTGTCTTTAGGACCTCCGCATCACCACTACGTTCCTTGGTCACGAGCGGTACGCTATCTGTACCGAGGCCGCCTCCGGTGCCCCCCTTGCGATGTTCCCCCAGACCCGTTGTCTGGCATGTTTACGCTAGACACAGCTTCCCCCGGGGTGGGCGCGTCCTCCCTGGGACCTGCGTCTACCCAGGTCGATGCGGCTTGCTCGTGTCGATCGGTCGCTCATTCACCCGTCGCTTCTGTGGTACCACCGCCTAGGTCACCCCGCACTCCCGCGTCTACGTCACATGTCTCGGCACGGTCTCGTCCTAGGTCTCCCTATGTCGCTCCCTGCACTCCCTCCCTCGTCTGCATCTCCGTGCACGCCCTGCGTCGAGGGCCGGCTGCGCCATGCTCCTCAATCCTCTTCGCTTCGTCATACCACCGCACCACTCTGCACCTGGACGTCTGGGGCCCAGCCCCCGTCCCTAGGCTGTCGCGAGCGCTACTTTCTCGTGCTCGTCGACGACTACACGCGCTACACCACGGTGTTTCCCCTGGAGCGGAAGGCCGACGTGCCTGACGTACACTGAGGGAAAAAACCGTCCGGATGTTTGGCAATAAGTTGGGTTTTTAGGCTTTGAGACTACTGTATGGTAAACCTGCAAGATGCACGGTGGTACATGTTGGGAGAGGCACAAAGTGGATGC